ACCACACAACCATCGCCACAACAATAACAAAAACGACGACCACCACCACCACAGATCCACCACCACCGACCACCACACACACTGAAAAAAAAACCCATTAAAAATTAACAACAGCCACACACAGATATCCGCCCCCACACACACAGATCTGTCGCCTCTCCGATTCCCTCAACTTCGAACACCCACCCAACTACTTCACCATCAGATGAGAGCCAACCGTGCTTCTTCTTATTCATTTTTGTTTTCTTCTTCCATTGTTTTTCCATTTTCATCTGCAACAGATCCGATCGTCCCCACACAAACCCACCTCCTGCGCTGCAACAGATCCGATCGTCCCCCCCACAAAACCACCTCCTACGCTGCAACAGCTCAGATCCGATCGTCCCCCACAAACCCACCTCCTACGCTGCTGTGATTTACAGCATTGTTCGAATCAGCAGTGTCGGACGCTGCTTACAGCAGCGTTCGACGTTGCGACATAGCAGCGTCCGACGCTGCGACTGTTAGGATAAAGGGAGGTGGGAGGAGGAGAAATGGAGGAGAAGGGAGGGTGGGCGGCGGCGAGAGAGAGAGAAACGAGGGGGGTTGTGTGGGATAAAATGATAAATTAGGGTCTTAAAGAGTTAATTATTTAATTAAAATGATAAAAAAAATCTTTTTTTAAAAAAGATAAAAAAAACCTGATAAATTAAAAAAATGGTGAAAACCTGATTTTTAAAAAATAGATACTTAATGCCTGGTTTTTCATAATTTTCCCATTTACTAATGGAAATTACATGTAACAATAATTTTAAACTTTTTAGATTTACAAGTTTTTATTTCAAAAATCAGATAATAATTAAAATTTTAATATACATAGTCATTCTACCCAATCATACACATCAAAACCATAATTATTTCATCATCTCTATTTTTCTCTCTTTTCTCTAGTCATCCGCCGTCGCCGCCCCGCGGCACCACTAGCTCGAAGTGGAACCTCTACGGCGGTGTTGTCGATGCTCTCACTCTCCTCTCCTATCCTCTTCTCTTCCTCCTCCTCTTCATTTTCTATCTGTTGCGATGCAGCCCCACACCAGGATCGCGTGAAGCAGCTTGTAACCGTTGCTCAGCCGCTTCGATGTGGTTTCTCTTGTGGTAATTTTGAGGCGTTGTGCGATGATTTTACACTGGAGGTTCCCGAGGCCCGAATCCTCATCCAAACCTTAATTTCCCTCCCCCTTTTTCTCTATGAACACCAACACTCGTCGATGTCGTGTCTGCCACAAGCGGTGCACCACCTCAAGCGACATACTGTCAAGCACAATGTTGCTAGCGAATGACAGCAACCAAGTGTTACTTATGTGGTGGCAACAAGCGGTGTTGGTGGTGACATCAAATAATGGTGGTGGGCGACAATTGTAGTGGTGTGGTGTGATTGTGACTTGGAGAATGAGTAAAAGAATAAATTGGGGTTCGGTGTGGTGTGTGGGTGTGTTACTGTGTAGGTGGGTGAGAGGTGAGATACACTTGATTTTTTAAAAGATAAAACTTTACACCTGATTTTTGAAATGATAAATTGAAAAATAGGTGTTGAGTGTAATTTCACAATGCAGGTCCCCTTCCAGAACCCACTCCACTTTTGTGTTCTTAAATTTAAATCACTTCACTATATATTAAAAGAGGCAAAATAAAGGTCACATGTGTCGCCAATTTCCGTCGTCGTAAAAAATCCTCATTTCACTTCACTA